AATATTTAAAATTCTACCTTGGAAGAAACCTTCCTTTTGTCCACATAAAGGAAAGCCGAGTTCAATGTTACAATAGCAAATGCATGAACAACTGGACAGTAAGACACATCGCTCCCACGGATATTGTACTACCAAGCAACCTGCAAAGTAGTCATTTAAACTCAAAAAAGCATTGCTTAACAAATTCCATTAGAACCAACAATTTGATAAAATTCACACCTCGTCTAAAGTTGTGATGATAATTCCACGAGCCTTTTCGTTCGCAAGCCTTTCCCTCAAATCTTTCAACTTTTCAGCAACAGTACGACCGGAAAATTCCAAGGGATGAACAACAACTGGATTAATTTCAGATGGTGGCCGGTTTTTCCAAACCTCATCAACCAAATTGGTTGAGGTTTGAACTAATTTCTGTTGCTTTTTCACAAAAGCACGTTCCCATCTTTGAGCCGTGTCCACTGAGACACACCAAGGATTGACCCCAATAGCTGCCTCCCTTGGCAAATTCTAAATTATTTATATATAAAAAAAAAAGAAATTAATAAAAATATCAAACTTTGAAGCACAGGATTGAATTTTTGATGTGGCAGAATGGTAAATTTACATCAGACATCCAAGCATCAACGGATGGATCTTCTCCGATACGCATTAGTTTCCATTGATGACTAAGCTGTTGTGTTGTTTGCAAGAAATATCGGCCGTCCGTCCATAGCCTAGCGTCATTTTTTGTGATAAGTGCCAACCCTGTAAATATTTTCCGAAATCAATAAAATATATATAAATAATTTCATATCTATAACAATAATTGTAATAATGATGATAATATGAGAAAATTGAAATAGAGACCTGCACTTCCGGTGAATCCAGAAACAAATTCGCGCCTTTTCTCCCTAGCAGAAACAAACTCGCTCTGCAAAAAATGGATTCAAAATCGAACAAAAAATTGATTATTTGAAAGCATAAAGGAAGAAGTATTTAAAAGAGTTTTTTTTTTTTATTTCACCTGATGATAATCTTCAGAAGGGACGACTAAGGCATTGAGAGGCGGAGAGTGAGAGGCCATTAAAGACCTCAAAGCAGCAAGTGTTTCAGCCATGAGGGAAAGTTGATAGTTTTGGAAAGATTTTCGAAAATCAATAGAGTTTTCTTCAGATAGAGAGGAATTGCGATTTTTACGGAAGTTGGGAACCGAGGATCCTTGGCGTTACTCTAACTCCAGGAATGTTTAATCTTTGCTTTTGAAAAGAAGGATCCTTGGCGGTAAGGCAAAACTCCTAAATCTACTGTCAAGGCCCACTTCTACCTTTAATCCTTTTCAAAAGAAAAGACTAAATATTCCCGGCGATAGAGTAAAGCACTGTTTTGAGGACAAGATTTAACGCAAAATTACTCCTATCAATAAGAGGTTAGCTTCGCCTTCATTGGTTAGGATCGTATTTCTCATACGTTCGAGTTCAGCTAGTGATTTTTTATTGGAACCATTTTGAACGTAAAATCTGTAATCATTATCTTTAAACTAATTACCCCAAATTTCTTTAAACAAATGCAAAACTCCTCGATTTTTGTTTTTTTTTTTTACCGAATTGTTATAGTAATCCAGAGCATCTGCTAAAGCTTTACAAATTACAAAGATGATTATGCAAAGACAAGACACAGAAGAAGTGAATGCTTTACTGATGTTTCCAAATGATGCTGCGATAGAATCGTGTTTTAACTTCGACAAATTATTGTTCACATTGCAATCTGGCAGAGAAGGAATCCAAGACATAGAGTTCCGTGTTCTTCCCATTCTCGATCTGCTGCCATTGATGAATAAACTAATGTTCAGATTATAAATAAATACAACATTTAATATTTTATTATAATCAATTAAACTTTTAATTTTTTATTTTCATTCAACTAAATTTTTAAATACACAAAATCTAATCACATAATAAACTTTAACCAATCGACCCTTAAATTATACTCAATAAAACTTTTAAAATTTTGTAGGGAAAAGGGGTAAAAAAAACATAAAAAAATTATTTGTTTAATTTTCATATATATTAATTATATCATATAATAAATTTTAATTTATTTTTTTAATATCACATGAAATTTTATCTTAATTAATTAAAAAATTAATGTTGTTAACTTTTTCATTCGAAGTAAAGTTGAATGGAATGTAAAAAGAAGTTAAAAAGGGTTGATTTATTTCAATAAAAAAAGAGATTTGAGTGATTTTTTAATTATAACTAGAAGAATTATCAGGTTTTGCTCGATTTTTTTTGAGTTTTTCAGTTTTTTTTAAGGTTTCAAGGTTACAATTTTTTTATTTTGATAAAATATAAATTATATAATTTTTATTTAATAATAAAAATAAATATTTTTTAATATTTTGTTGGTTTTTTATTTTTTTTAATTATCTTTCAAAAAATTAAAAAAAAATAGATATTCGAATTTTATCCCTGAATCGTAATTAGACAAGTATCGATTTCTATTTTAAATAAAGGAAAACTACTTTAAAAAATTATATAAATTAAATCAACACCCAATAATACATATATGATAATCTAATTTACCGATTTAATATTTACTTATTAGTAACATTAATTAATTATCAAATTCAAACCCATTTACCCATTGAATCAAAGCCTACTAATATCATCACTCGTTCAACTTATTTTTTTTAAGAAAAAAAACCCATAATTTTAATATGATAGGAAGGATACTATAATAATTTTATCCAATGATGATAGGTCGGTATTTTTGTAATTATGACTATAGAGCAATATACTAACTTTAACCATTTATGATAAAAAGAGGTATTTTAATAATTATGTTAAAAAGATAATTATAATAACTTTAGTTAATTATAAAAAAATGCATTATAGTTAATTTAGATGCGTGTCATTCAATTATCAAGTAATTAGAAAGGTAATACAATAATTTTTAAGGAGATAACTTTCATATAATTGTATGAATGTTAAAATTTAATATGTAATTATGAAGTAGTAAAAAAGTATTTTCATAATTATAACAAAGGATATTATAGTAGTTTTGCTAAATTATAATATGAGGGGTATTTTTGTAATCATGGTAAGAAAAAACATTATAGTAATTTTAGCAAATGATAATAGGAAAACATTTTTATAATTATAGTAGTAAAAGCATTATATTCACTTTGATCAATTATGAGAAAAGTGATATTTTGGTAAATATGTTAAGAAGACACTATAGTTATTTTAATTAATCATAGAAAGAAGGACATTACAGTTAATTTGAATGTATGTAATTCAATTATTAAGTAATTAAAAGGCATTTTGATCATTTTTAAGAGGAATAATTTCAAATTATTGTATAAATATTAAATTTTAATGCATAATTATGAAGTAATCCAAAGAGTATTTTCGTAATTATGCTTAAAGGATAATGTAGTCATTTTGGCCAATCATAATGTGAGGAATATTTTCATAATTATAGTTTGAGAGGCATTATATGAAACAATAAAAGGGTTTTTTTGTAATTATAATTAGAATGTATTATAATAATTTTAGCCAATTATAATATGATAGGTGTTTTCGTAATTATGATATGAAAAGATTTTCATAATTATAGTTAGAGATTATTATAGTAATTTTGATAAATTATAATATAAAGAGTATTTTTGTAATTATGGTAAGACAAGAATTATAATTATTTTTACAAATAATGGTAGGAAGGCATTTTCGTAATTATGGTTGTAAAAGTATTATAGTAATGCATGTAATTCACTTACCAAGTAATTAAAAGGGTACTATGATCATTTTCTGAAGGGATTAATTGCATATTGCTATATGGATGTTAAAATTTAATACGTAATTACAAAAGTAAATAAAAGGGTATTTTTGTAATTATACTTAGAGGGTATTATAGATTTTTGATAAATCACAATATAAGGGGTATTTTTGTAATTATTATTGGAGAAGTGTTACATGAAGCAATGAAAATGATTCTTTTTTGTTTGAGGGTATTATAATAATTTTAGATAATTATAATATAAAGGATATTTTTATATTTATGGTTAAAGGGAATTATAATAACTTTAGCTAATTATAATGAAGAGCGTATTTATGGTTATAGGGTATTCTAATAATTTTGACTAATTATAATATGAGATGTATTTTCGTAATTATGATAAAAAAGTCATTATAATAATTTTGGTCAATGATGGTAAGATGGTATTTTCATAATTATGGTTATAACAGTAATATAGTAATTTTTACCAATTATGATAAAAGAAATATTTTAGTAATAGTGAATTTAGTTAATCATAAAAGGAAAGGTATTAAAATCAATTTGGATGTATGAGATTCAATTCTCAAGTAATTAAAAAAATATTATGATCATTTCTAAGAAGATTAATTTTTGTATAGATGTTAAATTTTAATGTTTAGGTGGGTTTAGTAAAAAAGTTAAAAAGGAAAAAACAAAAATAATTTTATATAAATGAATCTCAAATATAAAAAAAAGATTAAAAAAATCATATAATTTTATAAATTTTAAAAGTATTTATTAAATAATTCTAAAGAAAAGTAAAATAATAATAATAATAAAATCCAAAAAATGACACGCAATGGCAAAAGAAACAAAACCATAAATCACGCATCATTCAAGTGTGTGCCAAAAGAATGAAAAAAAATCTTAATTATTTTTTTGTTTAAAAAAAAAAGAAAAAGGAAAAAGTAAAAAAAAGGAAAATATATATATAAAAGAAAAAATATATATATATATATATATAAATGGATCACACATATAAAAATACCAACTTTACAAATATATAATTGTTTATAATTTTTTTAAAAAGAAAAAAAAGCCAGTAGTAATTTACAAAATATTTCTTAATTATTTTTAAAAATATAAAAAGCAAAAAAAAAACAACGTGAAGCTGCCATATGACAGCCAAAGGAAAAAGTACTGTTCATAATACATTAGCAGAACTAATATTATGGATTTAGTGGCTTTATATACCCTTTAACCTGAATAAAATGGATAGAAAATCCTCCATTAATGAACATGATGATACCGATGAATTCAGAGTGATTTTGAATGACTAGAAAAGAAAATGAAAGTTTATTAAATCAAGCTTTGAGTGAATTACACGGAGAAAATTATACAACCGAAGAATCCCAATTCCCATACAAAGACATCTTATTTGATTAGCCAAGACAGAAGAATATCAAATCATGTACATCCTTCCCAACTGAATGGAATTGACAAAAAGGAATGGAAGAAAGGGTAGCAATACTAGGTGACATCTTTCACGCTGATGGATAACGGGAGAACTGCCAAAGACTAATGACAAAGCCAAACACATTCCAATTAATGACGATTGAACAGAATATGGGACCCCAAATCCGGGGAATGTCATGCCTGAGAAAGCCTCTTGACCACACCAGCCATGTACTTTCCCTGATGCTCTGCCAGAGCCAGCTCTGTTTCAGTTGGCTCTCTTGTGCCATCACCAGCATAAACTCCAGCACCATAAGGTGAACCTCCTCGTATGGAATCCATCTTGAACATACCAGCTCCGAACGTGTAGCCAATGGGAACAAATAGCATTCCATGGTGTGCTAACTGGGTTATTGCCGTCCAACTGAACCAGAAGGATCAAGGAAGCACCAGAAATGTCAGAATGTTGATAAATATATACCTAAGTACATGTGTTCATTGATAAGTATATAACTTATATGTTTGTTTATTTTTCAACATATAATCTCTGAAAAAAGGAAGATTTAACTTAACCCTTTTAGTTTTGAGGGCATTACAGCATTTCTAGTTCAACTTTATCCACAAATTTATAAAAAATATGATAGACAACAAGTTAAGGTATGAAAAGATCATTTACAGATAATCCTGATGTACATACAAATGGGTCTCAAATCAAACTCCATGCTAATATCTTGGAGCATGAAGCACCCTAAAAAACCATTATATTGAAAATGAAACCACTTTTAGATCCTCGAATTTTAGTGATCTCGGTACAACTATAGATTATTATCTGATATACAATCATCTGGAAATGCTAAGAGCAACTTTTATGGCTAGGATACCAATAAAAACATTGAAACTCGTAAGAGATGAAAAGCTATAATACTATGGAAAGAAAAGACCGCCACCCAACATTTCCAAAGCCTAGAAAGCTTCTATATTTCACGTTTACCTTTCATGTCAGACAAAATTCATCTTTCACTGAGCATAAACAAGACATAAAAATCATAATTTAATTGGAAAAATTAGCCACAAAAATTGGAAGCAAGTGTCTTTTGTATTAATTTTTAAACTAATAGTCTTAAACAAGCAGTACTAGGTTCTTCAAAAAAAAAAAAAAAAGAATTTAAGGATTTAGTATGCCTACCAGCCTTGCAAAAAACAACAAAGTCTCTCACAAAGCCACAGATCCTGGTAACCAAAAACAAACTAACTGATGCATATTCGAGAAAAATCCACTTCCAAGTAAAAAATAATTTACAAGGTAACTCTATTATAGCTCCTATTCATACCCTTCAACTGTTTGATATCATGAGACATCTGCCACGATTTCTAGTCTCGGAGCTAAGCCATTAGCACTTTGTTCAGCTATAGATGTCAAACAAGACGACATGGATCATCTATGAGGCTATGACACAATTCATAAGAAGGCCAACATTCTTAAATTTCTCTTATTTGGGTAACAAATTCAGGAAAAATAATGAATTGAAATTGTTACTCAAAATTTCTCTCCTGATGTGGAGAGGTTGGGAAAGAAATGTATGAACTAAAGTATTCAAATTTATGGATAAAAATAAGGCCTTTAAACTCTACTAGTCTACTATACTGATAAAACATTACAATTTCTCTCCTTTTTTTTTTTTTTACCATTCCAACAATTATAGAGATATTAAATCAATTTTAACTTACGCGGTGGTTTCTTGGCCGCCACCTTGAGTTCCAGTGCTAACAAAGAACCCAGCCGGCTTCCCAGCCAGCGTCTGCTCCTTCCAAAGCTGCCCCGTGGAGTCGAAAAACGCCTTCATCTGAGCCGCCATACACCCATACCTCGTCGGAAACCCAAACAGAACCGCATCCGCCTCCGCCAATTCCGCAGCCGTTATCTCCGGAACCTCGGGGTCTTTAGGCGGCGCCTTCATATGCTCCAACACATCATCCGGAAGCGTCTCGGGAACCCTATAAAGAACCGCCGCGACACCTTCCACGCCGTCGACTCCTTTCTTCATCCGCTTCGCCAGCTTCTCCACGTGACCGTACATGGAGTAAAACACAATGAAGACTTTTAAAGTGGCGGTAACCGATTGGCTATTCGTAGAATTCACCATAACAGTGGGAGTTTCGTGGATTTCTTCATCGGCGGCGATGGGTGCTCTGTTGGTGATGGTTGTGATGTCTTCAGCGGAGGTGGGATGTTTTTTTTTGCTTGGGAAACAGCCACCGCCTTTGCCCATGGAGGATTAAAGGGAATTGGGGTTAGGGTCAAAAGGAGCAGGTAAGGAAAGGAGGTTTTTTTGAGGTTTTTGGATCCAAAGTAAGAAAACATAGAAGTTGAAGATTCGCATGCTTTTTCCAATTTCAGCTAAAGCAAAAAAAATATAGTTTGGACTTTGGTAAGAGCTTCGGTGCAGAAAAAAAATGGATTAGCTGTCGTTGAGACTACAAGACTTTGTCGTACGACACGTGTCTCAATTTTTTAATTTTAAATGATGCCGTCTTCGGTTTTGGGCCTCCATTTGGTTTTTTAGCAAACAAAATTAATTTTTAATTAACTTAGGTCTCAAATAGCATTCATCACGCCGGAATCGAAGGGGAGTTTTTCCGGTAATCGCATCGATGCCATGTATTTGCATAGCACCCGAATAATGCAGATGAGGCTTATGATTTTGAATTTATCTCATGGATTAACATAATTAATTAATTCGAATTTAGATTCATTAATGTTAAATTATAAATAATTATAGGGACATTATATTGTAATATACTTGAAAATGTGATAAAATTTTAATTAAATGTGATCTCAATTTAATTTTTTAAATTGAACCTATAATTAAATATCTTAATTTTAATTAACATTTTAGAAGAGATCTCTACTCACCCTTTTATATATATATATATAAGTTTTCTCTCATTTTTTGTTCAAATGTCCGATTGGAACTTAAAGGGTGGCATCGAAAAAGTTTATGATGGCGGTAACATATCTATGGTCTTAGATTTAAGGGGATTAAACTCTGGCCCACATTTAAGTTAATTATAGTTTAAGTTAAATTATGTTAATAACTTAATAAGCTTTTGATTCAATTCTAACAATTGATATTTGAGTCAAACTCTCCATAAAAGCTACTAACCTCTTTTATTTGGTAAGGTGTTGCCGATTAAAGCTCAAATGAGGTTTTAAAGGTTTTTTGGTTCTTGAAACCTATGTGGTTTTTTTGGGTTTTTAGTTTCAAATTATAATTTTATTATTGTGGAGCTTGAAAAAATTGAAAGACGACTTTTTCAATCAAAAATAATGCGAAAATGATATGTTTTTAGGGCAAATCAAGTGAGAAAGGATCAAACGATTCATAATTTTGCATAAACCAAAACAGGTGAAAAAGACATTCACGTGCTAAAAAATTTTGCCTCTAACGTGTATAATACATGTTTCTGCTACTCACCCTCTTTCAGGTGCACCTCCAAGAAATTTTTTAAAAAAGAAAATTGGTCCAATTTTTTTGGATGCATTTGGCTCAATTCTTGTTCCAATTTTTGGGCATTTTTGTTGGATTAAATGTTGGACCATATTGTGAATTAAATTTTTAGGCCCTTTTCCTCCAATTTTCTTCTTTTAGGATAATTTTCTTTTGGATCATTAAAGATTAGGTCATTTGGTGAAAATTAAGGATTTTTATTATTGTTGGATTATTTTAATTAGATCAAATTTAATTATTAAATTTTGGAGGTCATTAATTTAATTAATTTTGACAATTTGATTAATGAATTTGTGCCGAATAAATTGGTTGATTTTAGATCTTATTAAATTAAATTCAAGTCAAATTTTAATTTTAATTTCATTTGAGCCATTTAGATGTTGGCCATTTTGTTGTAATTAAATTTTGGTAATTCTTTTTTAGATTAATTTTGTTCAAATTCAAATTTAGGCCTAATTTTATTTTTTTTTACTATTTTACTTAAAGCCATTCTAATTAAAATTTTTTATAAAATATTTTGGATTCAAAACTAATGGCTGTATTTTGTAAAATATTCACTCTAATTAAATGAAGTATAAATGAATTATTTGGGTATTTTGGAAAGCCTAATTTTGTGAATTAAAATTTACCCATTCTGTTAATAATTCATTTTATGATGTAAAAGTCCATTTATCTAATAAAATTGCCTTATTATTTGAATATTCATTTAAAATCAAATTAATTGATTTTGTTAGACTTAATTTTCTAAATATGCATCCGGATATAGCATATTTCAATTGCAAGACATTTTGGTCTTATAATTTTGTGAATATTCTTAAATTACACAAATCACTAATCATATTAATTAGAGCTCACATGTCGTGAGAGTAATTATGAAGATGTTTTAAGTTTTTTTTGGTAATTTATTTCGAACATTAATAAAGTAAATCCCTTATAATAGTTGCAATATTTATTGAGGTTTTTTAAGGAGATAAGACTTTTCTTGTCAAATTGATTATTACCTTAAAGGATGCTTAGGAAGAAAAAGATTTTGGTTGGGGTATAATGTGATTTAGCTACCTTGTTGATAACAAATCATTCTAAATTTATCCAACTAGCTCTATATTATCCTTTGTTGTATACTTTGAGAAAATCTCAAATTTTGAATTAATAAAATAACCAATATGGCATGATTCTCTCTACATACATGATAAAATTTTCAATTATTCTATAAAGCCTATAATCTTAGTTTTGTCCCTACAACTATCATCGAACAAGATTGATTTAGACAAATAGTGTGAATCATTCTTTATGGGTTTTGGCATAAAGAATTCAGAAATAGCCTAAAGAGTTGATCACGTGTTATACCCAATTTAGGACTTCGTTTGAGGATAAAATGACAGCTTGCTTTCTAAAAACACTTTAATTAGGATTGTCTTATGACGTATATGTATACCATTAGTGAACGCATTAGATAAAGTGTTCTACACACTAATAATTAAATATGCCATTAAAGTTAATCTAGAAAGTTCCATAAGACAGAAATATCAAACCAAATAGATCGTTCACCACTACCATATTGAATGAGATGATGGTTTTCATGAGCACATTTTGAAAATGACTAACGTTGAAATACAAGATCAGTTCTTATTATAACAAACCTCTGAATAGTTTCCTTTTAGAGGTGATAGTGTAATTGAAATCCGCTTATAAAGTATAGAAGAAAGTATGAAATTTAAATACCGTGAGTGTTAAAACCATTTAATAGGAAGAGATATTATGAACTGGTAATCTCATTCTGTCATTTAGATGATGCAGATTAGCATTGATGCCCAATGGAACATCATTGAGAAAAGTCCTATTAAAGGTCATTTAAGGAGAAAAAATTAGTGAAACCCCCTTCTTATTTCAGTTTTAAAAACACCATTGAACTCTAAAATTAAAGAAATTTAGAAATATGTGCCACTTTTATTGTACGGACTTATACGAGCATTTTTTTAAACCATCTTTATTTACTGTTTTCAATGAATATAAGCACTTTATCACCTATACTAAAAATGATTTACGTTTCGATTATGTGGAGTGAAAAGTCTAACTTTGTAGAAACCTTAAATTTTTTTTTTTTTATAAATTCGATGTCAAAGTTTTAAAAACACAAAATTAAAGCAATGAGATCAAGCATAGATGATGAAAATTATGGTTGATATGATGAAACTAGGTGAAATCTTAGACTATTCTGTCAAGTCTTCTACAGGATTGTGATGTTGACGCCTAGCATACTATACCTAGAATACCAAAAGAGAATAAAGTTGTAATAAAAAAGCAATTGCATAATTTTGTATATAGTGTAGTATATGCTAAATCATTCCACACTTTTGAATTTCATGAGGAATGAAACCATTAAGACTACAACATTCAGTCTAAGGAAATATCCAAGAAAATTAGTTTTTAAAAATTGTCGAAGATTTTGGTTAGACAACGAGCTAATTTTTTAAACCGTTTCCTGAGTCTAGGGTTGTAATATAAATTTATGGGCCCATAACCTTCAATTAAGGAACCTTGATTGGAAAACTATCAATGGCATTCTATTGGTTATTGCATTGACTTCAAATATTCTAGATTTTATCATCTGTTGTGAAATACTAGAATCATCAAGTCTGATTGTGTAATCTGTCTAAAAGATAACTTAGATAATATGAGTATTAGGTTTTGAACTCCGTAAAGTCATTCTCAATGATGAACTTATTCTTATGCCAACCCATTTGTGATTTAACTATTAATGAAAAATGCCATAAACGGTTGAACCACCAGTCGATCTCAATAATCTCATTTCTAGAAATGCACTCGAATTGACAAGGGAACATAAATATGGTGTTCATATGTCTTCTGATTTTGTAGCATTTCAAAAGGCCTTTGGTGATCATAACTTTTGAGTTGGATGTTTGCCAAGCAATATGAGATTGCATCTGTGTTGTATAGTTATGTGTGGGATCAAGATGAATGACCACATTATTACAGTCTAATTGATTGTTAATGGGTTTATAAGGTTAAAAAGTACTTCATAGGCTTGGTAGAAAAGTGTAAAACCAATTATATAATTTAGGGCTTTAAACAAAATAAGAAGTTAGGTTTGAAGAATTTTTCTATCCTATTTTCTACCATTAATTTTTTTAGAATTTTTATGGCATTGGTGGCCCATTTGGTTAGAAGCTTTATCAGCTAGATGTTAAGACCTCTAAATGGAATGACTTGAAGGTTTTGTAATTTTTTTTTAATGGAACATTCAATAAATAGACTTAAAAGAGTCTATTTGTGGATTTAAAAGGCATCCAATTTATGATAATTGAAGTTAAAGTTAAAGAGATTGTCACTATAAGGAAAACATTAGTAATCGGTGCAAAAGTCTGAAGGCCAGTAAAAGTAGTGTATTTCGAATGCTCTAAATTCATGATAACATATAAGCATCCATAGACACTAATCTATCATTTCAGACAAAATGTGTCGTCATGTCATTTCGGGTGAAAAATCTAAGTGAAGTTACATTCTAGTTTAAAGGAGATTCTTTGTGACAAATATAGAGGCATATTTGGTTAATCTTATTATCTATATTTAGTGTGTACTAAGTAAGTTTGATGTGCACTACATTTTTCATAGTAAAGTGCTTATTGTAAAAAGTGACATACCATTGAAATCTTAAAGGCCTCATATCAATAATGAAAGAGCTTATCTAAACATTCAGTATGCCTTAATTATAGGGTAGTATGATGTTGTGCTTAAGTCAATACACATTCTGATATTGTGTATTCTATAGGCTTACTTCAGAGACACTTGAATAATCATGTGTTTAGATATTAATGATCCAACATTCTAAATTTAATAAGATATTTGGTTTTATTTTTGTATGTTATATGAGACCAATTTTGATAGTTTGGCCAGAGA